CCACAGGCGCCACCCCTCATTTTCTGATGCTCTCTTGCTGTGAGACCCCTGGGAGAGAGGTATATGGTGTGTTCAGCTTTGTTTGGGCTGGTGTCATGCAGCAGGCACCTCCCCTACCCAGACTCCTAACAACCCTGTCTTGGTACGACTGAGGGGAACAGGCCTCAGGGATGTTTGAGACTTGCCCCAGCCACATCCACCCCCATGCCTTGGCTTCCCTGCACCCTCCCTGCAGGGACAGGGACCTGGGCTGGACTCATTCACCCTGTGAAGCCTGTGGGCTGCCCTGGTGGGAGGACTGTCATGCTTGGCCATCAAGCTTTGCTCAGAGTGGGTGTCTCCTGTTCCCGGGAGCTGGCGACAGCCTCTAATTTCCTGTGATAGCAGCGCCCCCGCCCTGGCCTACGCAGCCCCTGTGCTGCTGGATTCTCAGAGCTGCTCTGATGCCCTGCCCTTGCCCTGACCCTCAACAGCCTCAGGGAAGGCAGGATGGTGGTGCCCACCACAGGCAGAGTAAGATCAGAGCTGTGTGGGTTCACCCTAGTGCCTGGGACATGGGAGAGCTCTGTCCTGGCGCCAAGCTGGTTGGAGTGAAATGTGCTGTATCCAGGAGGGCACTTGCCCCAGGCGGCTATCCAGTGAGGACCAGGCCTCTGCATGGCTCTGTGACCTGAGGGCTTAAGAGTCTAGTGAGGCTGACCTCAAGCCCTATTGCTAGGGTTTGGGGATGCCAGGGCTGGGTGGGTGGGGCCCTGCCATCCCCTGCCCTCTGACCCTGTGTCCTGCTCCCTGCAGGTGGGCGCTTCTGCTCTTTCTCACCGTGTATTGAGCAGGTGCAGCGCACGTGCCAGGCGCTGGTGGCCTGCGGCTTCACAGAACTGAGCACCCTGGAGGTGCTGCCTCAGGTCTACAATGTGCGCACCGTCAGCTTGCCCCTGCCTGACCTGGGAGCCAGCACAGGCCCCCCTGCTGGCCCTGATGCCGGCCCCTTCCGCAGTGGCACGCCCATGAAGGAAGCTGTGGGCCACACCGGATACCTGACATTTGCTACCAAGACCCCAGGCTAGTGGCTGCTACCTGGGAGCACCAGGGAGCTGGGAGAGCTGTGGGCCCAGACAGGGAAGCTAGAGGCCACCTTATATGGTCAGCGGATGCTTGCTGGGCCTGTGTTCAGGAACAGATTGCAGGGCAGGGCTTGGGTGCCTTCCAGGTTGCTGAGTGGTGGAGGGGCATCTGTCTCCCCCACTGCCCAGCCCCCAGCCTGATCCCCACCTGCTCTTTGTTGCCAAAATGAAGTTTGTACTGCCACAGGCTCTCCTGGCTTTTGGGGCCAAGGAGGCAGGATCTGAGCCTCTGCCCCAGTTGCCCAAGCAGGAAGGGATGGAGGAGGAGCTGATGCCCCCTGTCTCTGCCCCCTCTGCTGTGGCTGCTCCCAGGCTCTTGTGTGGCCGAGGCTCCACACTGGTGTTCTCTGGGCATGGCCAGAAGCTGGGGTAGAGCTGACTGGGGAGCCCTGCCCTACCCCTCTCCCTCCCCAGTGCCACTGGGGACCAGGAAAGGTGACCCTGCTCTCTGGCCTCCAGGCTGACTCCACAGCATTAGGCACTGCCTAGACCTAATGTGTCCCCTCCTGTCTGAGGGGCAGAGTGTAGCCCCTGTTGGGCAAGCCCCTTAATGTGTCATCAGTGAGGTCATATGTCACACAGAGGAACAAAGAAGGACCGTTATTTGCTTCAAGTGACCTAGGAAGTCTGTACTGGAGCTGGGGTTTGGACCAGCCTGGGCATCCTAGACCTACATGGGCAGCCCTGCCTGTCCCAGGAGCCTGGGGTACTCATCACTTTCCCTGCCATGTGGCCCTGCGCCTGGTCTCCATGTGAACAGCAGCATCACAGAAGGACCAGCACCTGAGTCAGGCCATGGCGTAGCCGTGCAGCTGCCATTGCTGCATGGAAGGCCTGGGTGTGTGGGGAGGGAGCCTTGGGCAGTGTGTGGCACTGGGCCAGTCCCCAAGTGTGCATGACAACAATAAACGTGCCGCTCCCATGCACTGACTGGTTCCCTGGCTATGGAGAAGCCACCCCAGCTGGAGTCCAAGCTCGGCCCTCCTTCCCATACCTTGCTTCTTCCTCTCCTTGACCTAGGGAAGGTGCTGCTGGGGCCCTAGGCTCTAGGACCTGGGGGCTCAGTGGACAAAGGGGTATGTGGCCACTCCAATCCAGCTCTGGGAAGGGCCATTTGTCCTGCATGAGGGTTGGCTTTTAAGAACTCTGGACTTTCCTCTATAGACCTGGCACCCTAGACCTTCTGGGGTCCCCTGAGAGTGGCTCTGGGTCCCTAGAACTGCAGCTCTGCTCCAGGGGCCTTGTCCCCCTCCTTTTAGGACCTGGCTGACCCACCCTGACTCCTAGCCTGGGGACAGAGGAGGAGCCCCAGGGCAGGTTCTGCATGAAATGAAAGTGGGGGCCCCAATGCCAGAACCTCCTGGAGAGTCATAAACTGGGCAGCCAGCCCACTACTCGCATGGTGCTGGGCTTCCCCCAAGCCTGCCCTGCTTTGCCCAACCTCAGCTGCCTGGCCCTGGAAGAGTCTGGCAGGTGAGGATCAGGAGATGCTTTGGGGTACAGCTCTCCATGGTTTTTAGAACACAGATGGCAGGTCCTGGCTATGTCCATTTTCCAGATGGAGCTGAGGCTGGCAACCCAGACAGTGGCCCTGGTGTGTTAACCATCATCTGCACTCAAAGAACTGGAGGAGTGTTGGGGGCCAGGGTCCCTGTCCACCCTCATTTGTCACATGGGACAGGCTGTTCTGATCTGGGCTCCTTTTAGCCCCAACCCTGTGCTGTGCTGTGCTGCTCACCTACACAGGCCCTCATGGCTTTCCCAGGCTAGGGGTCCACTCCATCCCTCATAGCCCTCTGGCCTCAGCTTAGCCTCACCCACTCCATGAGCCAGCTGTGAACTTCTACATGTCCTTCAATACCCCACTCAAATGTCCCTCAACATGCTTTCCATGGCCATCTTGGTGCCACACCCAGGCAGAAGCAGCCTGTATACCCGTCATCTGGTCCCAAGTGGTCTGTGCTGGTATTCTCATGTGTTGCTCCTGTCTGGAAGCCCCACAACAGAGTAGTAGCAGAAGCCAGGCAGTCCCCCAGTTCTGTAGGTGGGGGGGCCTGACTCCCAGAGAAGCCTGGGGCCTGTGGCCAGTGAGTGACCAATCAGGCTGCTGGTGGTCACCTTGAGTCAGCAGCACAGGCTCATCACGGGGCAGGAATTCACCGGGAAACTCCTTAGTGTCCCCTCTGGCCCTCTTTTTTCCTTGGGCAAAGGCACATCTGACTTCCTGGAAAGCCCTGGGCCTGGCTCCAGCTCCCTCCCCAGTCTCTGTGAGCTGCTCCTGGGCCTCAACCTTACCTCCTCTGAGGGCCCCTATCCCCAACCAAGAGTACCTGGGGCCAGTCTGGATGGGTGGTATTAGGGACACCATGCTATGGGGGACATTCTCTCTTAGAAGAATGAGGAAAGGTCTGCCCCTGGTCTCCATGGGAGCTCTCCTGTCAGCCATCTGCCTCTGTGCTGGGGCGGCAGAAGGGCTGTCAGGGTCCCAGCCCATGGTACAGGTGGGGAAACCGAGGCCTGGGGGAAATGAGACTCACTGGGATCCCAGCCATAGATCAGAATGATCACAAAGGCTGGGGTGGGTTTCTGATGGGTTATAGAAGGCTCTTAAGAACACGAGGTGCTGGGTGGCACCTGTGGCTCAGTGAGTAGGGCGCCAGCCCCATATACCAAGGGTGGCGGGTTCAAACCCAGCCCCAGCCAAACTGCAACAAAAAATAGCCAGG